TTACAAATAGATTATCATCTAATATGCTTAATAGATAAAAAGAGATATTGGAAAACTATCTTAGTGCTATATAAAGCCATTGGCCGAGCTTATGACCCAACCATTCCAGTGATTCTGGATAGAACAGTGAATCTGATAACCTCATGAAGTGGTCTCCAAAACAGAGGACAGAAGAGGTCAATTGGCAGTGAAAAGGAAATACTAGAACTTCTACTTACATTGAATTTTTTAATAAAAAAATAAGAAATAAATTAAGCTTTACTAATATTTAAGACTTGGATTGACAATAATGCCCTCACTCAGTCCACATCTCATATGACTACAATATTGATAAGGCACTTGAGGTATCCTTAAGGAAAACTGGGAGCTTCAAGGCAGAAATACTGACACTCGTTTCTCGGCTCCTTCATTTGCTTTCGAATTTCAGTTTATTACCATTTATATTTGACCACTTGGGTGAATTTGTAGAGAATATTATTTTAAATGGTAAAATATTTACAATTCTTCATAACGAGATGATGTGTGACCTGGAAAATCTTTTCCCACATAAAGATTTCCTGCTTATCTCAAAGTGAACTACTTGTTTCTGAGCTTGAAGATTAGTTGTGCATTGTTCTTGACAAGAGAGAGAAGTGCTCCCAATTTGCTAACCTGCTTTATGATGACAAGTGGTTGTAAGCAGTGTCTATGCAGCAGGTATTTTCAAAAAAAATCTAAGCTGTTCCTTCAAAGTAAAAGTGACATTTAAATAATCCATGAGTAAGCCTTTTGAAGTGAACATTTTGAAAATGGATATTTGGAAACGTTTTCAGTGCTATGTGGTTTTTGTTGCCAGAAACTATAAATACTCACGTAGGCCATATAGTTTAAACTTGGAAATAAAATGTCCTAATCTGTTTTAAAGTATTCCTCGTGAAAGTTTGAGTGAGTTTTTAACCTGATCCTTTAAAATATTAAAATTCCCAGCTTTTCCATTAGTTTGCAGGAACCAACTGACATCGGGTAAGATGAAAAACTGCCAGCTGAATTTCTGCAAAACCCTTTGTAAAATTGGTAGGTAGAACTGAAAAATGAGCATTGTGATTTAGCAACAGTCAATAATTTATTTCTTCAATTTGAAATGACACATCCTTGTGAGGTACATATTCAACTATGACAGACATGAAAACTACGTATAAAAATAAACTGAACTTAGAGACCTCTGAATCACTGCATTACTAAGTATTAAGCTAAGATTTTTAAATGATGAAGTATAACCAGTCAGAACACTCACACTAAAAATTCTTCAAAAATTGTGATCTATTACATTGCTCACATTAAAGACATATTTATTTTTATAAAATATAATCTACATTAAAATATTATTTCACTTTTATCTTATTTCATCATCCTGATTAAGTTTTCTGATTTATAATATGCAGAATACAAAACAAAAGATATATATATAATTTGTAGGTTAAAAATATACATATATAGCTTGGCCAGGCGTGGCTCAGCGGTTGAGCATCGACCTAGGATCCAGGAGATCTCAGTTCAATTCCTAGTCAGGGCACATGCCCTGGGTTGCGGGCTCCACCCCCAGCAGGGGGCATGCAGGAGGCAGACAATCAGTGATGATTCTCTCATCATTGATGTTTCTATCTCTCTCTCGCCCTCTCCCTTCCTCTCTCTCGCCCTCTCCCTTCCTCTCTCTGAAGTCAATAAAGAAACTATATATATATACATATATATATGTGTGTGTGTGTGTGTGTGTGTGTGTATGTATATATATATACATATACATACATATATACACACACACACACAAATACTATGGGTGGATGCATAAAGCATTTTTACCAATAGAATATAATCAAAAAGTTTCAAAGACACTCTCCTAATATTTCCTGCTTCAAAAAGTGATTAAAAATTTTTTCTTATAATGGAAACAAAGCAAAAGAATACCATTAAAACAAAATAAGTATAGATTTCTAATGTTTTAAATAAACTATTCTGTAAGAGAAGATTTTGTGTACTCAAAGCAAACAATGATATGAGAATAGGTAAAGAATGATTTCCGTGGATGCTGACAATATGAGCAAGTCCTTGCTAGAGTAATCTGAATCAGTTACAGAAACAGTCAGAATAATCTGGCAATCCAGTTCAGAGTGTCAACTCAGATCTTGTTTTACTATGCCCTTCAGAAAACACTTTGTGGCCTCATAGACCCTGTAACAACCCATACCCACTGAGTAATTATTTTCCTCCCAAACCACTCCATCCTTGTCCGAAATTCTCCTAAGGCTTCTGTCATTGGTCTACATACCATTTATTTCCAACACCAGACTCGCAATTCTGGTTTAAGATAACTTGGCAGCTGAAAAGTCAACACACTGGAAAACATTTTCAAGTGAAAAGTTTGCCTCAATTACAAATTTGAAATTTTTAACATCCGGTAGTATTTGCAAGGGAAGACTGTTAAACATTGGCAAGATAAAACCCACAGTAAACAGGATATTCACACCCTACAGATATAACTCATGTTAACTACTTCCCAAAATAAGCCGATTAACACAGTGATTCTTGGGGTCCATAACAGAAGATTGGTGACAAGGAACAAAGGAAAGCCAGTGCAGATGAAAAGTGCCCTGAACAAGAGATATTTCTTTCTGTTTTCCCAAGCAGTAAAAACTTTCAAGAGAATCCAGTTCCTAGTCTCCAATTCACATCAGTACAGGAAAGAATTGAAAGACTATTGCTAGCCACTAGACAGAGGATGTGGTATGAAACTGTTGCAGGTGCCCTGAGTAACCAGCACCAACTACAGGACTATGGAGAAGCCCAACAAAAAAGTGTGTCAGTCAGACTAAGCATCAAGGGCCTCATGGGCTCTTGATCTCCAAGATCTCCTACTCCCAACTCCAGTACCTAGGCAAGGAAAAGGGGTATGGGGATCCACAGTGTATGTCTTATAGACATTTCAGTGTTTGATGATGTTATTTTTTGACCACTGAACCTCTTTCTATAACATTCTTAAATGAGGGTTATTAAACTGTGGGTTGTCTTTTAGGATCAGGTTTTCCTATAGAAAAAAATATATAAAGTTCTCATACTTAATTCCCAAAGTTACACATTTCCACCTAAACTTTGTTAACCAGAATGGAGGATAATATTTTATCTTGAAATAACTTCACTTACTTGAAAGCTTTAAAAAGAAACAACACTCAAAAAGTTGAAAAGAAATCAATCTTCTAAAAGGAGAAAGAGGTTCTGCTACTATAACCATCGAGTCAACTAACCAGGTGTTCTGTAAAGAAACAAAGACTGCGCTAAGGTTATTAGGAGCAATCAGCAACTGCAACAAACTGAAAAATAAATACCCCTTTGTTCCTAAACAGACTGCTTATTGAACTCCCAGGGAGCACGGCGGAAACAAGGCTGTACAGAAATGAACACATACAGGTGATGCCCACGCAGAGAAAATCTGCTCCAGCAAAAAGACCCGCAGAGTGGCTACATACCATGGGCATGGAGCAAATAATCAGGCTAAGGATAGTTGCCAGATTGGTGGCTGAAATTCATATCTTTAGAAATGCCAGAATCATCCAAAGGGAAGTGGATACTCAGAAATGTTCAAAACTATAAGAATGAATAAAGGAGGTGAAAAGAGGATCTTAACCGAGTTGACAAGACAGAAACATTTCCTTGCATGACTGGATCCCAATGGGGGGAGCGAGGGAAGTGAGGGCCATGTGGAGGCTAGTGGAGATGTGGGAGGTGTTGGGATGCGTGGGAATGTGCGTGGGGTGCTGGGGAAGTGGGGTCATGGGGATATGGCGGAGGTATGTGATGAATTTAGAAGGATGTGGAGAATTATGGGGGGTTTAGGGAGCAGGAAGGTTGAGGGATATCGTGGTGGGGAGTATGGGGGCAGGTGGAGGTGTGTGTGGAGTATAGGGATAAAGTGGGGAACTGCAGAAGATTATCTGAGGAGTGGTGGAGGTATGGAAGTATGTGGGTTGTATATGGCAGAATATGTGAGACGATGCACAAGGGAATCATACAATGGACACATGTACAGGCATGTAAAGCTGTGCCCATGTCTGTGTACTTTTTAAATTAGTAATGGCACAAATAAGTGCTTACTGTTAATTTTTCCTTTGATTTAATAGTCCTTACCTTAAAACTGCACTATATATAACCACCTTTCACAAAGGGCAAAAAAATAAGAGATGTAGATTGCTACATTTATGGGGATATCCCCTCTACTTTAAATTTCCTCACAAATTCATGGACGCAAAGTTGAGAAAGCCCAAGTATTTAAGGTCAGGAACTCAATTGTACATTTGTGCTTAACCCTTTGGGACCTCAGAAACAGATTACTGAAAATGGAATCAGGATGTTACCACATTTCCTGTCTGAAACTACAAAAGACAAGTGACAGTCTTATTTCCAGATGCAGAATCTCTGTGCCTGTCCCTACCAACCACAGTCCCATGAAATAAGGCATGGACAAGAAGATAAAAATTGGAAATACATACACAACTATACACATTTACTGGTTCCTGTTACAGTTTTCTCCTTCTTTTCAATATTCCCCTGCCACACTTGCTTTTCTGGCAGATGGCAGTGTGTCTAAATGAATAGCATCAACGTTTCAACAAGCATCATCTTCCATTAAAATATGCATAACCTGGTTGAATCCTCCAAGGCTGGTTTTTCACTTCATTGCTATTTTAATTTCCAGCCCCTTTTGAAGAACAGGGTCAGCCTTTGACTAAAGCCAAACTTCAGACATAATTTCAGTTTCAACCTTCTCTTAGTCTCCAAATGAACAGTTATTCTGCACAAATTTAATTTTCTACTCCTTTTTCAGTTCATTTGGCAACATTCAGACCTGCATAAAAGAAATTTTTCCCAGTAAGAGGCCTCTTATTCACTTATCCGCACAAATACAATATATCATAAGTAATACATTTCTGGGCTTCTGATTTCGGAGGGCTTTATTTTCATGTTCTTACCTCTGAATTGTTGAGATGACATTTGTGAGTTCCTGAAAACCAGCCATCACTCGAACATTGGTCAATGTCCACTTTCTGAAGATTTATGTCCACTTTCATGACACCCCTTAAAAACAGAGAAAGATAAAATGAACGAGTTAATCTGAGCCTTTGCAATTTCTAACTCTGTATCCTATCCTGGAAATTAGACAAATCAGCATACATAATGCACTAACATTTTTGAAATTGTCCACTCATATTCAACTAAAGTATACCAAGTGAAGAGAAAGACACAACAGAGCAGAATCAACAGTATTAGTTTTATATAAGTCCTAAAGGCAGGAACTCTCTACTGTTCACTGTCTTCAGCTCCCCATATAATGCCTGGCACACAGCAGATACTAATAAACATTTGTTGATTGACTGAACCTCAGACAGTATTTCTCTGGACATGGTAGCAAAGTTGACTCTGAAATAACGCCTGCTCCCAGTATCTCTTCTATAAAGTAAACCAATACAAAGTCCTCACCTTTTTCTTTCTACTCCTATTTCCCACTGCAGGCCAGGATGGGGAAATTGGTGGGGTGGGGGGAAGGGTACATAATCAGGGAGGGAGGAAATATCAGAAACTAAGAATCTCCTTCCTCTAATTTTCTATAGCAATTACTTTTTTTAATTTAATTTTTGTGTTTTTAAAATATATTTTTATTGATTTCAAAGAGAGGAAGGGAGAGGAAGAGAGAAAGATAGAAACATCAATGATGAGAGAGTCAATGACCAGCTGCCTCCTGCACGGCCCCAACTGGGGATCGAGCCCACAACCTGGGCGTGTGCCCTGGCTATAGCAATTACTTTAAATAGCTCTTTAGGTCTCCCAGTTTTCCACACTAAGCAGAGTTTTGCTTTACCTACATGCATGCTGATCAGCATTTTTCTTATAATCTAGAAAGAAAAACACTGCTTTTCACTTAGCCATCTGAGATAAGTCACTAAGAAAGAGAACTCACAGATTTAGAGCCAAAAGCACAATTGCAAAGAAAGCTACAACTTTATCTAAAACTCCCCCAATTTCTCCATCATTTCTCCCTACATTTTCCTAAGGCCCCTCTCTCCTATATTTCACCACCGCCAGCACCACTAGCATCAGGAGCAGCAGAAATACCTGTCGTGCACTGAACTATCACACCTGGATTTCAATGAAATCAATATTCTGTGTCCTGGGCCCTGAAGCTTGACCTTTGTTGTTGTTTTTCACAAACTTGAGTATAATGTAAACACTCTACTAAAAGTAAAACAAAAACAAATACAAACAAACCCCACACATTTTCAAGATCCCACATCCCCAAATTAAAATATTTTCATTATGATATTATTAAATATGTAAAAACATAAAGGTAGGCTTAAGTTCCTTACATCATAGTTCTCTTAGCTACAAAAAAAACAACCCACAAAATTATAAAATAAGTGCAAACAAAACTATAAAGCCAACAAAATTTAATCTAAAATATCGATTTAAAAACACCAGTGATTGTTTTGTCAAACTAAATCACCTCAGTAGTTCAGCAAGCCTCTTTTACCACGTTATGACTCATTTTTCTTCTCTTTTCTCCCTTTAAACTACTGTGAAATCTTCCAACACAGTCGCTTCATGTCATTTGGGCTTCATTTCCAGTGAATAGATCATTTACTTTTTAGACTGCCTCTGTTCTTTTCTTATTAACCTATGACAAAGTACTACACTATGTGGTACTAACATGCTAAAAAGAGACAGAAAGCAAACAGGGACAAATACTGACCTTCTGTCAATATTTGGTGATCCAGATAACCCAATATGTGTAAGTTAATTTTTCAGGTAAACACTGAAATGAAAACCCAAAATTTATCATAGAAAACTTACATATCCTTGAAATAGGCCCCAGTTTGCAAAATATTACTATTGTAGATCATAATTTCACAAAACAAATGTTCATATGAAAAATAACTGGATTCCAAGGTAACCGACTAACTTAACCCAGTTCATTCTTTTGCTCTTTCAACAAATATTTATTGTCTGGTATGCACATATCACTGTAACAGATGCTATGTAGGTGAACCACATAGGCCCTGCCCTCAAGTAACACCAAAAGGTAAATGGTTTTTAAAGCATTGGTATGTTTAGTGGAGAGCAGATGCTAAATTCTGGGGAGTTGGGGGTATAGTAGGGATTCAATAAACATTTGTTGACTTGTTGACAGCCTTCACTACCAGAACTTTCTATAGAACTATGTTCCACATAGGTTATGACAATCATGCAAGCCCATTCAGGCTCTGTTTAAGCTTGTTGGGAAATGACATATTCATTCTTTCATTAATTCAATAAATACTTATCGACTATCTACTATAAGCCAAAATTGTCTTTGGCCTTTGAAATACATTAATAAGCAGGGCAAAAAAAAAAACAAAAAAAACCCTGCCTTTTAGGAAGTTAACTCTAGTGTGGGACAGACAAATAATAAATGACAAGTATAATAAATAAATTATGCCATATATTCCAAAGTAAAAAGCGCTACAGAGAAAAAAAATAAACTTGAAGCAGGTAATAAAAGACAAGCAGGTTAAACACTCTTTTAAAGGGTGGGCAGGATAACTAAGAGTTCTGAAAAGTAAGAGTTCTAACTCAACATTGCAGGTATAATTACAGCAGGTTGGCATTCACCCACTAAAATGATCAGTCATCTTCAGGGACACGAGTTTCCCACTGTTGTCCACAGCATTCTGGTATTCTCCCGTGAACGTCTTATTCAGAAGGCATTCGTTAAGTAGTAAGCTAATAAAAAATATGCATTTCTATTTGTTCCACAATTGTTAGAAATAACGAAGTCAAGTTGGCCTCAGCTATCCTGCTACACTGATGGTCTGGTTGCAAGATCGTGGGCATCTTGAACTCTCCCAGCTAGCTCAGCGACACGGCTAACTTGGTATCTTAATCCCCAAGGGTTTTCCCTCTTAATTCCAGGTTCACAGGGAACCACACGTTAACCTCAGCTCGGGAAGCTCTCCGGCCCCGGGTAACGGGGCGCGCGCTTCCCCGCGGCGCCGTCAGCGCTGACTCATCCTCATTAGCGCCCCAGCCCCCGCGCCCGGGGACCCGCAAAGCCCTCGGGGAAGGCGCGTCGACTCCCCGCGGAGAACCCGGAGGCTTGCGGGATCAAAGAGGAGGAGAACTTCCCTTTGCGAGCAAAAGCGCGCTGCGGCAACCCACCTCGCGGCTGAAACACGCACGCGCCCCCGCACCGGACCGAGGGTGGGCCCGCGGGGTCCCCGCC